TCAAAGATTTGTTTTCTTAAAAGAGACAGAAAATATGCATTATTTTGAGTTCGTATGGTGGATGGTTTTGTCCCTCCAGGTCATGCGGAAGACTGTTTTATTGAAAGATTACAAATGAATCCAAAGATTTAGTAAACAAAAAGTCTTCAGTTATTCAGCTAGCTCTTATTTTGTTAAAAGCAGATTATTAGATAAATTCTTCCTTTTTCCTTTTTTCCTTTTTTATCGGTACTGGGGATCGAACTCAAGACTGCCTGCTTGCAAGGCAGACACTTATGCCGCTGAGCTAAATCCCCAGCTCCCATTAGGTAAATTCTTAAAGATAATTTTATCTTTTATTTTTTATTTTAATGAGGAGAACCTAACTCTGCCTTTATATTTGGCTATAACCAAACTGGAACATTGATCTGTACCACAAAATTGAAAAGATCTTTGACAAAAGGTACCACATGGTCGGGGCTGGGGATTTAGCTCAGCCGCATAAGCGCCTGCTTGCAAGCAGGCACTCTGAGTTTAATCCCCGGTACCGATAAAAAGGAAAAAGACAAACAAACAAACAAACAAACAAACAAAAAACAACAACAAAAAAACCCCCCAAAAACGCACCGCATGATCTTACAATTAACAGTATTTGTGATATGTAACAGTATGAATTGTGAGCACATTTAGACATGTATTTAAAATTTTAGAGAAACAAATATTGAAAGATTTAGAGAAAAAACATAAATGACAAGAGGTTAACTGGAGTGGGTTGCCTAAAAAGATATAGGTTAAAATTAAATTTTATTAATTCAGTAAATATTTGAGTATGCCTATGTATTATATACTAGGCTAGGCACTAAAGATGCTACATTAGTTTCAGAGAAAGTTGTTGTTTTGAAGAACCACATTTCACATATATTGATTTTCTAAATTCCTTTAAGTAAAAATATGTCTCCAGTTTGTAAATAATATTAATTGCAGAGAATCAAAAAAATCATTTAAGTATTACATTGACAATCTACTATGGGTACCATCTGCCACATAAAGAAATGCAAAAGATAATCTCTGTCTTAACAACTGTAGTTGTTTTAAGTACCAGAATTTAAAAAAAAGTTGAAGAAAAGCAGAATCTTTACAAACAGAAATAAATACTATATGCTGCATGATATTATACGTGTGATACTATATGTCATCATTTTCACAGTAATTATCGAAAGTTAGAAAAAGAGGCATCTTATCAAGAAAAGACACAAAACAGCATTAATAAGAACTTAGAGAATTTGGATAAATTTCAAATTATACAATTGTTTGAGAATTACAATATGTCAATAAAAAGCACATTGTAGTTTTGTTATAGGCTCAGATACGGGAATAAGTAGGTCTTTTGCTTGTTTGAAAGGGAAATAGTACAATGATATAATTCTGGCTAGGCAGAAAAGAAAGTGATTATTTCTTCTTTTGTTTTGTATTTATCCATACAAACAATTACCTATTCTTAGAAAAGATAAAATATAAAAATATATATGTACATTTACTATGGATAATTAAAACTCAAGGTGGAGAGTTAGAAGACTGCATTTATGTTTCCATAAATTTAAGAGTTCTGGCCCAAGTGATTACACCAATTACACATCATAAAACTATAACGACTTGTAAGTATTGTGAAACTAAATAGTAAAGCTTATGGATAGTTTTGTGCTCTGGGATTGTTTGAAAGGTCAAGAAGCTTTAAGGCCAGGCTAATATTGCCCTAAATGGCTATTTAATAGAAGCTACAGTCTGGTTGATAGATCAAAAATTTTTTTACTGGAGGCAATCATATTTTTCCCCCTCACAGTAGTGAAACTTTACATTAGTATACTAGATGCTGAGGAAAAATATAATCATTACAAATAGAATACAAGAATACATTCTTCCTGTAAAAAACTGATAGTAGGAGAGTTCAAGAAGTAAAAAAAAACAATAAATAAGAAATTAAGTTTTAAATAATCTTGAAACTTTCAAGAAGAGTACAGTGTTTTACAATTTCTCTCCCATTGGTCTTCATTTATTTATTCATTAAATATTAAATGCGCCCTATGCACAAGGCATTGTGCTAATAATATGTTATAGAGGGTAATGAAGATGAAACAGATCTTGTTTTGAGTGAACTAATGCTTACAGAAAGGTTTATAAAAATATTAAGGTATGTGATATTGATCAACTTCTCTGTTAATTCATAACAAGCTATAAATCTGCATATCTATTCATTTTAAAAAGGAGGGTCAGGCAGTCCAAAAGGGTGAAACAATCAGCTGAGATTAGCTGATTGTACCACAGATAGCTCACACTGGGTGTTGGTATTTATGACAGAGGTAGTACTGATTACCAAATCTCATTTTATCTTTGTTTTCTGATTATGCAAGGATACATTTGCTAATCTCCCTATGCTGGGGAAAATGTTCTGAAAGCAGAATGCAAGAAGTAATGGGAACCACTTTAACCCTTAGAAGTAAAAGCAATTACCTGTATCTACTAAAGCTACACTGGAGACTGTTCCATGAATAAACAACTTCATTTATAGTGTCCAAAAGATAGGAAGCATATACTGAGGCCTGTGAGGCAGGTGCTATACTACGGAGCTGTGTGCTCTCTAGACTAAAATGCTATTCTTAAGTATCATGTATACTAATATGATGGTTTGTTACTAATATTTGACAATTTAAATATCTGTTAAAACTTTAGGGGTGATATCTAATGAATTTTATTTTTTCCCATTTAAAAGCAGACTCTATTTTCTTGTGGACTATCAAGTTTTCAGGAATGCAAGACTGAGTTTGAGATAAACCTACTTTGACTTTTTTTTATTATTTCTAGGGCAAGTTTATGCTCTTTTTGATTCTCTCATTTTCTGAATTGGAGAACTTAAAAATTGTGGTTAACTTGTTGTAACCCATTGTATACTGGGTGTGTTGAAGGAGGTGATAACTCGAATGTAAGAACTAATTGTGTTCTTTTTTGTTTTTTGCTTTTTTTTCGTTTTTTTTTTATCGGTACCAGGGATCGAACTCAAGACTGCCTGCTTGCAAGGCAGGCGCTTATGCCGCTGAGCTAAATCCCCAGCCCCTGAACTAATTGTGTTCTAAGGGAGATCCTGAACTTTGGTAAGCATCTATGGTAACTGCATGGGACTTTAGATTGTCTCTCTTAGAAAGGAAACTTTGTCCATAGGAAGAATGATGAGCCCAGACGTTTGCAATCCCAGACATAAAAGAATGGCAAACATTCTGGTTGCCCCAATATTGGTCCTTTCCATTTAGCTCAGTAATAAAATACCGAACATTAGGTGGGTATTTGTTCAATTAAAAAATATTTTCCAGCCTCTCTTGCAAGAAAGTATGGCCCTATTACTAAGCTTTGACAAAAGGATCTAAGAAGTGGTTTATAGGAATCTTCTGAGATTTCTTCTCCCTCCTCCTCTACCACCTTCTCTTCTTCCTCCTTTTTCTTCTCCTTTTTGACAGGGTCTCATTATTTAACGTACTTCAGAGTGGTCTTGAATTCACTATGTAGACTAGGTGCAAATGCAGTGATCCTCTGTCTTAGCTCTCCAACTTTTGGAATGAGAAATTTTCTTCAAAGAGAATTTTGTCCCGCCCTTCCTTTTTGGCCCTTCTGGGTGAGGTGGTCATTTTTTACAAGTTGGGGGTAGAAATCAAGGGTGTCTGTTGTCAGGGCAACCTGGTGATCCCTGATAGTTGCGGAGCCACGATTTAGGACTATAATCCCTTTACCATTGTTATCTAGGACTTTTCATCTAAGTATTATTTCTTTCAAATAATTTATATCTGTCTTATCTGATTTTGTTTTCTTGCTTGTGTACAAGAGAAACATTGATTCATTATTTGTAACATGTCCCTCCAGGCTTAGAATAATGCTAGGAAAATAGTGATGACTCTTGCAAAGGCAGTGAGTTTTTGCTTTAAGAAAGTATAACATTTTTTTTTTTATTTAAAGAAAAAAGCACATTAAAAAAACAAAGCAGTAAAAGGGTACAAATAATACAGAATTTCAAGAAAAAAAAATACAGTAAGAAATCACTAGTTAATAGTCTTCCTAGAAAGTTGTCCAAATTATAAAATTAAAGCATATAAAGTGGACATTCAGACAGTGATACTGGAGACAGTTCTGTTCAATGATCCAACAAAAGCTCACTAATATGGTTTTCCATCCTACCCACTCAAACATACCTGCGGTTATATCCCTTAGTCCACCTTCCAAGAAAATGTAAAATTTAGAATTCTAAAGAAACTGGAAGGTTATACAAGAGGCAAGTGATATTTAGGGAAATACAGGACTCAGTTCACACAGGATCTTTGTGCCAGTGAGTTGCTGGTAAAGCTCTCCAGCCAGGTAACACGCCACTTCAGCTGCAACTGTGTGTACTGTTTGGCCAATGAGCACCTATTAAGGATGCCATAGCCAGGATTGCCTGGACTTAGCATTTGGGCAAGATGGCCTCCGGCCCTCTCCTCATGCTAACTTTCCTGTCACATAGCAGATTTTTTAAGCCTCCTGGGCACCACAGATTAGAACATGCAGTAACTGGGGACAGTTCTATTGCAACCATCATGCCTAGTGGATATGCGACACAACGCGAAGGGGAGCAGGCTGTCCAGAGAAAGACGCCTCCCCCGCCGCGATCCTCCAGCGAACTTCTCTCCCCCACCTCCCAACGAAGATATTTAAACCCTACTTGGCCAGGCTTTAAAAGGACAGAGACTGAAGTAAAACTTGACCCAAATCACCTACTCTACTCTACTGCGCTCTGGCTACCGCACTCTGGCTACTCCCAGCAGCTAGCTCGCTGCGGTGCAGGAGGATGCGACGCGTCCCCGAGTTGCGCTGGCTCCCGGCGCGGAAGTCCCCAAGTCCTCGGCCGTCCTCGCTCCGGATTCTGCGGTGCACGCAGGCGCAGATCCGCGAGGGAGCCCGCGTGCTCCGCCTCGCTCCGCCCCCGCGTGCGCGCCCCGCCCCCTCAAACTGCGATACGCTGAGAGTCCAACATCCGAGAGAGTTTGGCTCTGGGTAACCCAGGTCGTGTGACCTTTCCCCTCCATTCTGCACCTCTAGCTGCCCGACTGGGTGAGAAGCCGGCGGTTGGGCGCCTTTGTCGCTCCCTCCCGATCCCCGGTCGTCCCCCTCCGGCCCCTCCGTGCTTCTCGTCATGGCGGCCCTCAGCAAGTCCATCCCTCATAACTGCTACGAGATCGGCCACACTTGGAACCCTTCCTGCATGGTTTCCTTCCTACAGATCACTTGGGGCGCCCTGGAGGAGTCCCTGAAGATCTATGCCCCTCTGTACTTGGTGAGACCCGTCAGCCTGCCCTCAAGACGACTTAAGTGGGGAGGCTGGGCCGGGGCCGTCGGCGCCCGGTGGGCCTGCAGGGACTCGTCCGTGCCGGTTTCTCTTTAGGAAAGGCGCACAGCTTTGGGGGAAGGTGGGCGAGTGGCTGGCAGGGGGCGGTCCTGAGGAGCGAGGCCCCCCAGCCCCCCCCTTCTCCCCCGTTTAGAAGAAGGAGGGGGGATTAGAGGTTCAGCTGTCATCTCAATGGCCTGTTGCTAGGGAGAGGATAGGATCCCAACTTTCAGGATTAAGTGTAAAACACTTAAAATCTGAAGTCAGAGACCTGGGTTTTTCTCTCTCCTGCCTTGTGATGGAGAGGTGTTTGTAGGTCAGTGAGGCTATGAGATTGCTTTCATTCTGTCCTCAACTAATCCTGTGATTTTTTTTTTGAATGAGAAAGGGGATATTTCAGCCTGCGCCCTTTGGCCGCAGATCTTGTCTCTGTGAAATGACAGGATTGTGACTTGAGAGTTTTGCATAGCTTTTGCAAGTTTGTGAAATATGCTCCAGATTTAAGATTTTTCGTCATAATTTGAGTCGTTTCAGACTTTGAGTCAGCGAAGATGTTTTAGATCTGATTTAGGTCACCTAAGTCATTTCATTATACATCTTGGCATGTAGGGCAATTAATAGGGTCTGTTGAGAAATATGTATATGTATCAATGAGTTGAGAACCATTAGACAAGTTTGTTCTTAAATGTTCTTGCCTGTAGCTTTTTTTCCTCCATAACTATATCCTTGTTTTTGAACATTCACTATTTGGTCACTAAACTTTATGGTTTCCTTTTATTGCCCCTAGAGTCTGGTGCTTAAGAAGGTGAGGTTCTTTTTTTTTTTTTTTTCTTTCCCTCTTGGTTTTGTGTGTGTGTGTGTGTGTTTCCTAAAAGTTCCTTTCAATATTCAGTGGATGGTGAGTTAATTCATTTTACTGAAATAATAATTTGGATTTATATCCTAACTTGCCTGATGGTGTGTTATGGCAATATCTGTAATGCCACTTAAAAAGTTTGATTAGTTATTACAGAAATCAAGCAGGGGAAGATAGTGACTTTCTCTGAGGTTGCAGAAGCCAGTTTCGTTTTTATGCTATAAAATGATGCTTTTCAGACTTTAATACGTGTTAAAAATCCACTAGGGGTCATGTTAAAATGGGAGTTCTGAATCAGTAGGTGGGGGTGACAGAGGAACTGCATTTCCAAGACTTCTAGGTTTTGGTGACACACTTTGAAGAGTAAAAGTCTGTAGAATAGGAATCAATATAGATTTATTATTGGAATTGGAGATGGCTTCCTTGATTGTCTTCCTTTCCTCATAAATGTTCTAATTTTGTTGTTGTGTTGGGGATTGAGCCCAAGGCCTCTGCATACTAAGCAAGCATTCTGTAGCTGAACTATATCACCATCCCCAGATTTCTTTTTAATTGTAATCTACACAGTGAATTTTGGATATATTTACCTATACAAAAAGACTTTCTAGGCTGGGGATGTAGCTCAATAGTAGAGTGCTTTCTTTGCATGCGCAGATTCCTAGGTTTGATCTCTAGCTCCACAGAGAAAAAGATCCTGTTCTTGACCTCAGAGGATTATGAAGTGGGCGAGAAGAGAGTTTATGCTATTTAATTTTTCCCTTTGAAAATCTGTAGCACATTCGTTCTTTCCTTTATTCAATAAATGTTTGTTGAATGCCTGATATTTGTTCAGTCCCCAGTTTATTAATTACATGTTATCATAGACAGGTTTAGGGGAGCAACAGAATGTGGATTCTACCACTTTTGCCAGGTGGGGAGGGAGTAGAAAAAGAGTTGTATTTTACTGTTATAAGCATCAGTTAGATTAAATACTTCTTGAGGATAACTTTTCCACCTCGTGTGATTTTGTATCTTTTACAGCTGAGTGTTTCAGCTTGGGTCGCTATTCCTCAGTGGTTGTGAACTGAAATTAGCGGGAATTTACTAGCATCTTATTTTAAGGGAAATAGAAAAGATTAGAAAATGTTAAAGCACATTGAAGTTACTGTGTGTAAGCATAATTTCATGATTTTTTTGTTTCAGTTATATATGTGGATGGGGTTACTTAGAATGTATAGCAACGTTATGGCCTTTGTAAGTGTTGGGTAATTGCTGATTAAATGTATGTTTCTAAGTGTCCAGCAGGATACAGGGTGATGTGATGGGAAAAAGTTGGGCTTTTAAAAGGATCAGGGGGTGGCTAGGGATTTAGCTCAGCGGCATAAGCGCCTGCCTTGCAAGCAGGCAGTTGTGGGTTCGATCCCTGGTACCGATAAAAAAGAAAAAAAAAAAAAAAAAAAGAAAAAATTAAAAAAAAAAATAAAAGGATCAGGGATATCTAGATATTAATCTCAGCTTTATCATTTACAAGCTGTTTGACCTTGTTTTTTTCTCTGAGAATGAAATGAAGTAAAATAATGCCTTGAAGACATATTGTATATTTTCTAGTTCATAACAGACTTGAATAATTATGCCTTTTTTCTTCTTCCCCTTCTCAAAGTAAGAGTAAAGTTTGGCCAGAGAAAAATTCTTGGAAAGACAACTTTACTTTGAAGATAAGGATGGACAGATATTGATTCCTGTAGTAGATTGTTTATAGAGTGCTTATTCTTAGTGGAAAGGTGAATTGAAATAGAAACCTATTCTATGTAGATTTCAAAATGGCTTTATAAGAGGAGCATGACATACATTGTCTTAAAGTTTTATGAATAACTTGTTTAATATGTTTAATCTTTTACATCTTTTTTCTTTTTAATCTTTGCACAATTCCAGCTTATTATCCTCATTTCATAGGTAGCAATACTGAATATTAAAGAAATTAAGAGATTTATAAGATTTAGTACTAGTAAGGAAAAAAGGGTTCAGTTTTGGATTTTTTTTTGGATACAAAATCACACTGAAAATCAAGCTAAAGAAACAAAGGATTTTTTTTTTTTGTCTTTTTTGTTTTTATCGGTACCAGGGATCGAACTCACGACTGCCTGCTTGCAAGGCAGGCGCTTATGCCTCTGAGCTAAATCCCCAGCCCCCAACAAAGGATTTTTTGAGTCAAGGGGTTTCAAGAGTCTGGAAGCCCTGGTAATATGTATTGGAAAGACTATTTAGGAGAGAGTACAGTAGGTTCACCAAGTGGTGGAAACAGTCAGAGCTCCTGTGAAATTCCACCTGGCAGTTTATTACCAATGTGATCTTAGGGAAGTTACTTTATCTCTTCATCCCTTAGATTCCTTGCGTTGCACAAGCTAATTGTGTTCGTGTTTTAGGACATGGTGAGGACTTAAACAGGATAATAGTGCATAGAAATGACTGATGACATATATTAGGGCCCTAATAAAGTGGCATTGCTATTGCAGTATTGCATTAATGTAATCTGTACCTCCATCTTCCTTTAGATCAGATAGCTTGTATTCAGTGAGTGCACATTAATTGTTTCAATGAACAAATGACTAATCTTGCAAATAGTGTAGGAGTGAGAAGATACTTTTGTGGTCTGCCAAAGAAAATGAGAAGGGAGTTCTATAGGCATTTTTAGGAAGAATGAATAAAATATTGAGGCATCATGAGGGCTTAAAGTTTCTAGGATTTTAAGTCTCATTAGTGAGTTTTATGGTGCAAAAGAGAAGCAAAGGTACAAAAAGAACAGGTTTATGAGATGAGGATGTGGGAAGGAGCACACAACCCATGGTGGCTGCGCTGTCTCCTTCCACTGGAATATGGAGGGTATGGGGCATATATAACCTTTGAGTGCAGGTGGTGCTTAGGGCAGGCATTGGTGAGGAGCTGATACCAAGCGGTTGCAGTTAAGGCTGAGGAAGAAGCAGGAAGTAGTAAATGTTCCTGCTTTGGCCGTCAGCCACATTAGGCCACCATAACCCTACAGTAATTTGTATTAGGGCAAGAACCTTTCAATTAGTACACTTGTTCATAGAAATGAAGGAATTCTGAAAGGAAGCTAGTTTATGGGAAGATTTTTTATCAGGAGTAGTTTTTGAAGTCTATAAGATGGCTTTTTTCTGTTCCTGTCATGTTTATTCTGTTGTTTAGACATCTGCTCTCGAACTTCTTTTCGTCTTACTACCTGCAATTGTAGTACCTTCTACCTAAGCCATTTTGAAATATAGACATATTGTTCCTGTTGATAGTGAATCTTTGTATTTTCACAATTTGTAAAAAAAAAGATCAATTTATGTGTGTGCGTGTGCATGTGTGCTTTCTTCTTGAGATAAAGTCTCTCTGGGTAGTTTAGGCTAGCTTTGAAGTCACTATGTAGCCTAAGCTGACCTTGAACTCATGGTGATCCTCCTGTCTCAGCCTTCTGCACGCTATTGTTGTAGGTTTTGTAGGTATACTCCACCATGCCTGGCCTATGTGTAGTTTTTAAAAAAATACTCCTGTAGGTTGCTTGTGGTTTACCAAAAAACAAAAAACAAAAAAACAAAAAAACCCCCAAACCTCCTGTATATTTTGTAATATATACTAACAGTTATGAATGTATTGGAGGAAGTTCTATTTTATTTCTTACGTGTTACTGCCACATAGTCAAAGTAAGTGGTACTCTGTGGTACACATTTATTCTACAAATAGTTGTTAAACTGTTTAAAACCTAGAGTACTACTAAAATTGAGAAAAGGTTGTTGTCCTTGATTTTTGTGGCAGATTTTAGAATACCTAATTGTCCATTTGGAAAATAAGAATTTTGTGCTTTCAAATACTTGGGTGCCTCTCCTAAGAAGGGAAACATGTCTACTAACTTCAGATGGTTCTAAGACCTTTTAGTTATCTTTTTCCTAGGGCATCTTCACACTGGGATACTAGCATTTATTCTTAGCTGAGTCCAAAATACATACAATATTTGTACTTTTGGGAAAGAATGATGTAAAAATTCGAGTTTTCATTCACCTTTAGATAGGTAGGTCCTTCTTCATGGTAAGACAATGTTTACTTCATATTTGTT